TCCCAAAGTGCTGGAACTATATAGGTGCATGCCACCATGCCTGGTCCCCCTTCACCCTTTTGGCTAACATGAAGTCACCTAACCTGGAAGCCCATGGGATCTCATTTCAACACAGCATGGGGGCTCTGAGATAGAGGGGAGGATCTGACTCAAGTATAACCATGCGCCCATTCTCCAAGAACATTAGCAGCTGTGGTGGGCTACATACAGCAGGTGGTCACACTAGACCTGATCCGGCCAGCTTCCACTTTAATAAGGGCTGCGTGCGTGTGTGTGTGTGTGTTTGTGTGTGTGTGTGTTGGTTTCCTTCCTGGCCTTCCATAATGGAAAGATGGAGAATGAGGGTTGTGGAACGGGGTGCAGCACGCTGCAGGGGAAGATGCCTGGGTCCCAGCTCCGGTTCATCAGCGGTGCCAAGTCACTCCTCGTCTCTGGGTCTTCGTGTCTCTATCCCCCCTTCGTATCAATGTCTGACCCTCTGTAGGCACAACAGGGACTGCAGTTTGCTCCAAATCAGAGCTGCAGCGTGGGTGCCCCATAAATACAAGTATGCAGCACTTACACACATGCTTTCATTCCCTTCCCATGATGACGCTGCCCATGGAGGCAGCAGTCTATTCCATGTAGCTTACCTCCATGGGCAACATAATCAAGACTAAAGTCGGGGGTTTTGTTTCTATCCCTACATTCCAGCTCTGCTTCTATTAGGCTGTGGAGGGGATCAGGGAGAAGGGACTTGGTTCAATCAGATGCAAATGCAGAGAAAACTTTAGAAATCATACTGAGTGACATAGAGAAAGGCTTGGGTTGTTTTAAAGATTTTTTTCTCACTCTAAAAAGAATTCCTTTTAACACACTGAAACATTCAAAATTCTACTCAAAACTCAGTTTTAGTATTATCAAACTTAAACAGCGTCTACAATGTGCTGTTCCTGAAGTGTCACTCCTGACATTTAGTGTGATACCCTGTCATTAAGTCAGCAGACTTGAAAGATGTGGGGGTTTTCAGTGTATAAAGAAATAACGCTGAGGATCATAACACTATAGTTTCATCCCCCATTCTCAAAAGCACTTTGCTGCTAATCACATTAATCCTTATAATTTCCATGATAATAGACCCAGATCAGTGTTTTGTGAGTAGGGGTGGGTAGGTGGGGCAAGATTTCCTTGGGATCGTGGGAAAAAGAGTGACTACTGAGTTCTGAACCTGGAGTTAGGCTGCGGGAAGAGCAGCAACTCTAAGATACTTGAAAGGGGGTGCCTTGCCATCTTGCAACTTTAGCCACCTCTCCTGGCGCTCTCCCTGTTTAATAGATGCTGTCAGGTCAAGAAGAGGAACAGTAAGCTTTGGGAGGAACTTGGAAAGTGACACAGAGCCTAGCCAATGACTGGAGTCCCAAGAACGTGGCGGAGAATCGGGAAATAAAAAAGCTGCGGAAACGTTGGATATGATTATAAAGCACACAGACTAATCGGACAAAGATACAGATGCAGGCTAAAGCATATGAATGAGGGAGGCTATCACGATCCCACAAACACTACTGAATAATGATGTCTCCTTGGGAATCGTCAAACCTGATTGGAAGATCAGGATTTTTTAAGTCTCTCATTGAATTTTTGTCACATGCCTTTTTTTTTTAAATCAAAATACCCATCAGTGCATTTGATCCCTCCTACTGTGTATCATTTCTAAATGAACTTTTGTAGTTAAAAACAAAAACACATCTCCCCCTAAAGGATGACTGGGTACCAGGAAGACTGTTCAAAATAGTATTTCAAAGATTCCTCAGTTACTTCAACCAAAGGTCTGCAGCCTCCCTAACTTTGCGCAGCATATTTGGAAAATGAACACTAAAGGAATGGCAACTATTCTACAAGGAACCAGACTCCTTGGAGGCAAATGTTCAGTTTGTCCAGAAAGGAAGGGTATGGGTTTTATGTTTTGCGGGGAGGGGTGGAAGGTTTGGGGAAGGAGTACAGAAAGCAATAATAAAAATCTCTTATGGTTACCACGTAGAAGAGGTATAGTGCTCCTTCTTCTATACACCCTGTTTTGCATTGTCACAATGGACTGGATTCAACTTTAAAAATTCTGGATATTTTTTAGTTGGTGCACGGGTAAGTAAATTATCTTCAATTGCAACATAAACATGTTTATCTTTGACAATAAAACATTTCCAAGGGGTTTAAATGTACATTATTCTCAAGGAAACTGCCTCAGTGGTCCTAGTTTTCACTAAATAGACCTCATTCCCTTTGAAAAATCAGTGTTCTATATCTCTTTGTAAATACAGGTCCTACGTGTATTGAATTCCAACTGTTGAGAGTTTTCCATGGATCTCTCATGTTTCTGCACGCCTGTGATCAGAGGCACACAAGCTTTTGTTCTAGACTATCTTTCAAGGGTGTCTGTATAGCAAACAGCCTTGGAAGGCAGTGTCTCCCTCCCAGAAAGAGGGCGAGTTTGTTTGCTGTCCGGGATAATAAGATCAGACAGGGTTGCTTGCAGGCCCTTGACAAGGTTAGGTTTCCCAAGCTTGGAGTTCCTCAGCTGTGATATGAACAGCATCTGCCTGGCCACTCCGCATCGCCTCCATGGGAATTTGGGGGTACAACAGGAACAGATGGGGAACATGAAGCTCATGCCGCCTACTGTGCCTCTGTCTTTGGAGTCTTCTGTCAGCATCCATGACACTGGCAGGTTAACTTGTTAGCTTGCATGTAAAAACTCTGGACTCTTAATAGCTGACACCTATCAAGCAAACAGATTAGATTTTGTAGAGTTAAGGAATTTCCATGTCCTATTTGTCCACCTCTCTCAAGCAAACAAATGCAAATTGCAATTCCAGCACACTGAATACATATGGATTGTCTTTTGGAGTTGGTTGCAAAGGGACTTAATGTTTCCAGACAGTAAATTTAATGGGTTAAAGGACACACAGCCAGGTGCGGTGGTTCATGCCTATAGTTCCAGTACTTTGGGTGGCCAAGGGTTGAGGCTAGTTCAAGGCCAGCCTGGCAAACATAGCAAGACCCTCGTCTCTAAATAAATAAACACAATGAGCCAGGTTAGTGCCTGTGGTCCCAGCTACTTCGGAGGAGGATGATGTAGGAGAATCACTTGATCCCAGGAGTTGAGGCTGCAGTGAGCTATGATTGCACCACTGTACTCCAGCCTGAGTGACAGAGAATGACCCTGCCTCTAAAAAAATAATAAATAACAAAGGACACATGTAAGTAAGACGGAGTTTAGGGGGAAACATAAAAGATCAAGAGAGGGAGGTAATCCCAGAAGATGCAGATAGAAATAAATTACAATGCATTTCTTTAATCGTGGTTTTTAGTCTCAAACGAAACACACCATTCTTTGTTAAAGAAAATTACAGCCCTATCGCCCTCTACTGGAACGAGGCTGGAAAATACAGAGAAATAGCTTGAAGTTAACTCTTAATGGAATCTCTTCACACTGAAGTCCATTGCTGCTATTATCCAGATGTAAAAGTGTAAACCTCAGGTGTTTCTGGTAAGGTATGAGGGATACAGCTCCCTTTGTGTACCCAGGCTGATAGGTTAACCTGAACAACTTCGCGCTGAACAGAGTGGCCAGTCCTTCCCACACGCACCTTCCATTTGCAGCCGTCACTGATTGCCAGGACCAGTAACAGGCTGTGATTTGCTCAAAGTCCCAGCAAGTCGATCCCAGCACTGCTCCTCCACACCTGCTCCACCTGCATTCCACAGAAAACCGCTGTGCAGAATCCTCCCCTTGCCTATCAATCCCACCTCCGGACCTACTCAGCTCTATCTCAGAAAAGTCTCTCTGCTCTTGGGAGCTACAGTAGGGCTGGACGCAGTGAATGCCAACCCACCAACTCCAGAGTACATCACTCTGTGATCTCAGATGGTGTCAAACGTCACCCTATCAATACCACAAAGCAGTGGTGCCCAAATGTTTTGATCATGCACCCAAATCAGAAAAAACAATGTAATGCACCAATAAATGTATATTTATTTATAAATAATAGAAGTGTACAATTGTACAATATATTATGTACATTATAAAACACACAAAAATAGAAATTTAAAAGGATGAGATTAAATACAAATAATCATTTTAATACTTCCTCAATGGATTGATCATCTCCACGCCCCTGGGATGTATACACCCCCACCTGAAACAATAGCCCTAAAGTATGTCAATGATTGTTATTTGGGTTTTCAGCTCAGGTTACAGAAATATGTACAAGATCACATCTTTTAAGTTTTGCAAAATAGCCCTAGCATCAAGTTTAAATGGATGAGAATGCTTGGTGCTAACTTCTTGAGACATATTTGGACTGGTCACTACACAGCTGGTAAAATGTCATGTTATGGTTCGCCAATAGTTATTTCACTTTAAGGCAGTCTAAATAGGGGATTTCATGGAGTTAAATCAGGTTATTTGTGGGAAAGTTGTTTTAAAAAAACATTTTAAAGCAAAGGATCATGATTTGCTTTTTTTTTTTTTTTTCCAAAAACACCCAACTGGCTGGGCACAGTGGCTCATGCAGGTAATCCCAGCACTTTGGGAGGCTGAGGAGGGCTGATCACTTGAGGCCAGGAGTTCGAGACCAGCCTGGACAACATGGCAAAATCCCGTCTCTACTAAACATAAAATTAGCTGGTGTGGTGGCATGCACCTGTAGTCCCAGCTACTCAGGAGGCTGAGGCAGAAGAATCGCTTGAAGCTGGGAGGCGGAGGTTGCAGTGAGCTGAGATTGCACCACTGCACTCCTCCAGCCTGGACGACAGAGCGAGACTCCATCTCAAGCAGAAAAAGAGAGAGAGAAAAAAAAAGACCAGCAAATTAAATAGCCCCTAAAGAAATAATTCTTCTGCCTACAGTAGACAAAAAAAAAAAAAAAAAAAAAAAAGGCATTCCAAACAATGGCCAAGGCAAATGGATTTAAATGGATTGCTACTCATCTACCTGATCTAACACCAGCAAGTGAGTTCTTAACTTTTTTTTTTTTTTTTTTTTTGATAGCTCTAGTATCCAATCACAGAGCCTGGCACATAGAAACTCAGTAAATATGTGATGAATGACAACTCCTCAAACATTATGTAAGGTGCTGAATTACATTTGAAATAAGAATTGTGACTACAGAACACTAGTATATGGTTTGGATTGGCTGAAGCAAACTGAACAAAGCTTGTGGTCAAAAATAACATGCCTAGAGAGCCTTATTATATCTCTCCCTCCCTGTTTCATCATCAGTTGTTTGACATCTACGCCCCCCTGCTTCCACCAGAGCCTGAGCTTCCCCGCACACAGTGGGACAGTACAGCTGGACAGGCCTGTCCTTTTCCAGCCCTCAGTGCAAGCTGGGAGAAGCAGAGCAGAAGGTATTTTCTACACAGAGAACTTCACTCAATGTGCTCCCTAACTTTAAAAAAAAAAAATTCATGAAAAATGTTTAAACAATTCAAAAAGGACATGAACATCTAACTCTGAGATTGACATATTAACACCTCAGGGCCTCAATCAAATATTATAATGCTAAAAATCACAACTGCTACACTTTTAATTGTGGTAACTAAGTCTCCTCATGAACAGCTGTATTTTAATAGGTACTTTACCAATTAGAGAAAAATATCACATAATTTAAGTAACTTTCAATTTCACTTCCTATACACTCTATCATCTATAGGCTCATCAACTGTTGACAACGTGTCAGTTTTTTTATAGGAAGAACACTGAAACTTCACTCAAGTTTCCATTAGATTAAATGCAAACTAGGATACATAGTTTGCTATTCTCATTCCAGAGGAAAAACAAAGGGATGTGGATTTCAGCGACTCGCTGGACAGATAAGAACTATCCACTGAAGGCTCAGTTCTTTCACTACTGCCATATGGAAAGAGGTTACCTAAAGTACTCACTAGAGGAAATTTTATTTTACTTAGTTGGGAAGTACATACACATCACACAAAGAGAAAAAGAAAACCAACTATTGGAATTTTCTGGTGATGGTGGTTTTTTAAGCACTGTGGTGAGTTACTAGGTTACCCTCCTCTCCAGAATCTTAAACCCAGAGAGAAGCCAGCTGTGTGAATGAACTTACAAAGCCTCTTTAAGGCAAAGTAGCCACTAGAAAAAACAGACTTTTCTTGAAATCTTTCAAGAAAACTAGGAAATATGCATTCTACACATTGTTGTGTCTTGTCTGCTCTGTTTCCTTGCCTTTGTGCCACACCTGTTTTCTCTAATCCCTCCTTTCACTTGACACCAGCTGGCTCACCCCGCCACCACACTTAAGTAATCAGTAGCTGCCTCAAGACACTAGTGCTTCACAGCAGAACCTGATTTGAAAATTAAACCCACCCTCTTACTTGTTCAATGAAGTAAATGAAAAAAATCCTCAGTGACACTGCCTCCTGCCTGCCAAGAAAGGGTCTCACTAAACTGGTGATTGAGGTTATAGTGAAAAAAACTGCTTTGACCATTTGATAGAAAATATTACATCCTAAATTTAGAACCAAAAAAACCATTCATGGTTTTGGTAATTTTCAATTTTTATTTCCAACTACTGCAGTAATAAGATACCAGTGGTAATTCTGCACTGAAAGTGGCAACCTTTTAAGTAAACAAGGTTGCAAATTGTAGTATTCCAACAATATTTTGACCTATGGAAATTTTGATGGGAAAGGATTATTATAATCAGTTTTATAATACTACAGACTTATGCTTCCTCCACATCTAGGAATAAAAATATCCACCCTCCCTCAATGATTCATCATGTATACATCTCTACTCTTTACAAGCACTATCTTTCCAGCTGTACTACAAGGGGAAATCCCTCTTACTCCTGGGTTTTTCTATACTACACAGAAATAGCAGTCACTTTAGCAGTAATGTACAATACTATTCAATTTTTAGTTGAAAAATAAAGAAATGGATTGCCCTATTTATGCCCTGACAGTAAAAAGACACACACCATTGAAACATAAAACGAGTCAACAAACTTCTATTTTTATTGACAGGAGTCCAAAATGAATACAAAAAAAGCTTCCTTTGCATGTTATACTTACTTTCCTTAAAAAGCTCCTGATAGAGTCAGGTAGACTGAAAACTAAGGATGTAGTTCAGCTTTTAAAGTGAACCTTTTTAATAAAAGGTTTAATAACATAAGCCACCAATATCAGAAAACATATGGTCCCACTATCACTTTAGAGCTACAGCTTATCAAAAGAATTAGATCCTGCACTGATCTGCTAAGATACAGGTTTAGAAATGTTTTAAGCCATTAAAAGCCATTTTTATAATCTGTCCGATAACTGGACAATTAAGAAAATTCCAAAATGTAGCCCTCTGTATCATGTGGAATGTGAGAGAATGACAACTTATGACCAAGATAAGTAAAAATAAAAGTTTAAATCTATGAATGGAGCTGTTACAGTCTTGTATCACTGCAAAATGTCAATAATAGAGCTTATCAAGAGATTATAAACTTGAGCAATGTTACTTAAAACATATTTGTGGTGTTTGCTAAAACTAAAGCTGAACAAAGAAAAGTCGCTCATTTATAGACTGTGTTTCCTGCATCTTTACTTTTACTGGGACCACAGACTGATAATACATAGCCCACACTTTTGGACAGTTATAATAACAAAGGATTTATTATCATTTGCAGATGAAATAAATGCACCATCCCATACTTGAAAGGTTTCAATAAGCCTTAACATTTTTCAGGTTGTACCAAGGCACCACTGCCTAGTTATATTATGCACCCATTTCTAGAGTAAAAAAAACTACACCTCCCTCAACATCAGTTCTGTACTGTCTCTGGTTTATTATATACTTCCAAAACAGCAAAAAATTGCAAATATGTGCAAACACTGTGGTCCGTTCAGAGTACTACTTAGTCATCATCTTCCTCTTCCTCCTCTTCTTCCTCAAAACTATCTTCAAAGCCCTCACTGTCCTCCTGGTCTTCATCCCCTTCTATTGCTGTATCCCACTGTGGGTGATTTTCTGGCACAGGCTTAGCCTCATGAACTTCCAACTAGAAAGAAGAATTAAATGTAGACATCAGAAATTTGGGGAGAAATAATGGAAGAAATCTTGGTAAACAAAAGGTTTTCTTTGACCATAGCAATTATAAAGAAACAGATTTCTATGGATACAATTCTAAATTCAACTCATTCATTTAGAATAGACAATTCATCCCAGAAATAAAACAAGTAAATCTAACCATAGGTAAATGTAATCAAATTTCTAATACAGTTTGATATTTTGATTCTATATGTTATACTACTTATGAATGTATTTCTGTGGCATAAAACAATTGTGATTCTTGAGCAAGAACACTGAGTCATATTTTAACAGAAGCCTTCTGCTTTAAGGAAGAAAAATCTGAGATATTTTGCAGTCGCTAGACTTGTGACGTAAAATTCTAGTTAATAAAAAAAATATGGAACCCTCATGGAAAAAAAGGTTTGCCTTTACTGGCTACTTTTACCCTTTACAATGCAATAATACTTTTAGCACCATCTCTCTAATATAATAGGACACCTTGTATAAAAAGTTCAAGTGAATTGGTAAACAAAGATCAAAGTGTGCTGCAAATGATACAGAAGTGTATGCTGTAAGATGACAAAAATAAATTAGTTTCAGAAATTAATAAACACTCCAAATAGAATCTGTGGTTTAAAAAAAAAAAAAAGTGCCTTTCTAAAGAAAAAAGAACCCATTTGCTGAGGCCTTATAAAGTTACAACACATTAAATGTATCCCTAAAGTAATTGATATTCAATGTTCTAAGTTGTTATACTCCTTAAAACCTAAAACTTTATTATTGAAAGACTAGTCCATCAAGTATATCACATATAAAGCAAGAGATGATTTCTTTTTCCTTCCATAACTCTACATTTCAAAACTAGAATTGTTTTCCTAGTATATTAAACATGTATACAGAAAACTCTTATCTACTGAAGAGTCACTATTCTTACCTTCAATGGTTTAATCTGATCCAAACCCATATAGGAGTCTGATCTCAGAAACACAGTATACTGATAATTTCCAGGCTTGCCTGGTGCGGGAAACTTCAGCTCTACCTAGAAGATAAAATCAGAACTTAAACATCTGTACTATGGGGAGGAAACAGCTCACTCCCAAAAATTCCTAGACCACAGTATTTAACAGCCAGGTTTTTTCTGCAGATGATACAGAAAGCCCAAACAAATGTTACTGAAGTCCTTATAAACAATAATAAAGAAAAGTGAAATGTATTACATATTATAAATACCTCACAAAGAGGAGATCAAATTATGCAGAACTGATGAGGTTAATTTGTATCTCCACAATTTAAGAAAAAAGTACTTAAAGCAACCAAATTCTATGCTATCACCTTGAAGAAATTAAGTAGGTATAAAAGCATAAATGAAATGTTGGGATAAAACAACAGACTTCACTAGATAGGAGATACTTCTTGCCAAATTTTCTTATTTCTAGAATAAATGCCCAATGCCAAAGGTCAAGAAGATATTTTACTTACCATCAAATCATAAACTTCAAATACAAATAACAAACCTTTAAAAAGTTTCTATTCCACTTGGACAAAAGAAGAACAATTTTTTTTAAATGACATTTTAACCTCTGGTGATCTGCCTCTAATCTCCAAAATCCAGATTTTATAGTCAAGATTAAATATTAAAATATGCCAATTTTAAAAAAAACTAGAAAAAATCATGAAGGAATCTTTTTTTAAAAATTAATCTCAGTTTGGCCTAACTATAACACAAACCTAGAAATTATTTAAAAAAAAAAAAAAAAAAAAACTCTTTAAATCATACTACAAAAAATAAATAAGAAAATGGATAAACAAATAGGTATTTATATTTCTGCCTGGTAGAAACAACCAGAATAGTAAAACAAACTGGGGAGAAATATTTGTAACACATATCACAAAGGGCTGATTTCTTAACATTAAAAAAAAAAAATCCCAATTTTTTAAGACTCAAGAAAAGTGAACAATGGCCACAGACACATTAAAAAGATGACTCAAACACACTGAAAGTTAAGTTTCACTCTTCAGAGAAATAAAAACTACACTGAATGGAATAAGCAGAGTAAAAATTGATTCAGACAAGAATCATCAATATATGCTTAAAATGACTGGCTAAAACAATGTTGGAGAATAGGACATTCACACAGGGCCCAAATATCACCCCATAGATTAGAGGGGGAGAAAAATACCTTTACAATAGAGAAAAACCATAGCTAAATGAGCAACCTTAATTAATATCACCAACATAGGGCAGAGGCATATACTGTACCTCTAACATAATGCGGTAAGAAGTACATCACCAACATAGCTTGCTTGCCAAAAACACGAAGATGAATAAAGAGTAACCAACGAGACAAAGTCATATTAAATGATATTGTACACAACACTTTGCCTGGATTCTTGAAAAATGTCAGCGACATGCAAAGATTAAAAAAGAACAAGGACAAGAAAGTATTCAACACTAAAGAGGCATGACAACCAAATACAATGTAAAAAGGTCTTTTTTTCTTTCTTTCGAGACAGGTCACTCTGTTGCCCAGGCTGAGTACAGGGGCATGATCATGGCTCATTGCAGCTTCAACCTCATGGGCTCAAGTGATTCTCCTGCCTCAGCCTCCTGAGTTAGGCTGGGACTAAAGGCACGAGTCGCCACACCAGCTACAATGTGTGATCCTTGATTAGATCCTCAGTTTAAAAATAAAACCAAAAACTGTAACAGACATTAGTGGAATTGTTGAGGAAATTTGAATACAGACTGCATATTAGATAATTATGCCATACCAATGTTAAATTTCCTGAGTATAATCATTGTAGTGGGCCTATGGAGAAGGTCCTGGTTTTTGTTTTTGTTTTTTAAGAGACAGGGCCTCACCATGTTGCCCAGCCTGCTCTTGAATTCCTGGGCTCAAGTGATCTGGCCACCTTGGCCTCCCAAAGTGCTGGAATTACAGGTGTGAGCCACCGCACCCAGCCCAAGGCTCTGGTTCTTAAGGGATACATGTCAAGTAGTTAGGGGTGGCATGTCATGGTATCTACAAGTACCTCAAATGGTTCAGGGGAAAACACACACACATGTGCATGTTTTGTATGTACACATACAGTGAGAGAAAGATAAAACAAGTAACATCTAAATGTAAACAACTGGTGAAGATAGGTGGGGATCTAGGGAGGTTTCATGATACTGTGCTTGTAACTTTTCAATAGGTTTTAAAACTTAAAAGATCAGAGAGGCCAGGCACAGTGGCTCATGCTTGTAATCCCAGCACTTTGGGAGGCCAAAGCAGGCGGATCTCTTGAGCTCAGGAGTTTGAAACCAGCCTGGGCAACATGGGTAAACCCCGTCTCTACAAAAAATACAAAAATTAGCCAGGTATGGTGGTGCATGTATGTAGTACCAGCTACTTGGGAGGCTGAGGTGGGAGAGCCTGGGAGGCGGAGGTTGCAGTGAGCCAAGACTATGCCACTGCACTCCAGCCTAGGTGACATAGCCAGACCCTGTCTCAAAAAAATGATCAGAGGAAAAAATTAAAAAAAAAAAAAAAACCCAAAGATCTAAGATGCTATTTTTCACCTTTCCAACTAGCAATGATATTCAAAATGTATGACATGCTGAGAGGCATTAGGCATATTTAGACATTCATTCTTTTTATAGAGAAATAAAATATCTAGCAATATAGATCAAAATTACAAACATACAGAGCCTCTGGCCCATCGATTCAACCTCTATAAATTTATTATTAACCTATTTCATGCATTTACCACTTGATTACAAAGGGTTAAAAAATATGTACTAAAAATCAACATCATAGGGCTATCTTGAAAAGCTTTTGTCCACCAAGTACAGGCAGACAGAACCTTCTTCCTATAAAAAAAAAAAAAAATCAAGAAAAACAAAAATGCAGTTCCCAAAGGTAAATATGTTCATCACAATGTTACTTCACTGATGTCATTAACAGTGAACAATATCATGTAATCAAAAATTCCACTCAAAAAATCCACATCATCAGTTCTTATATTTTTTAAGACAAAAGATCTAATACTTAACACTAATCCAATAAGAACAAAAATCCTATTACTAAATTCTGGAGAGGAGGAGGAAAGGCATATGTTCTTAGACACTAACAGTGAAAACTCCCAAAACAAGCTAAGAACAAGTTTTTAAAACATTGACTAAGTTGCCTACCTTTAACAATTATTGATACATTTCCAACGAGCTTACCCCCAAAACATCAGAGAACAGTTACAAAATGCAGTCAACGAACAGAATACAATATGCTAAATATGATAAACTGCTTTTTAAAAAAAAGATATATGAAGATATATGAAGCAGCATGATGGTGACAGCTGTGCCTTGTTAAATACTGAAATCATGTTGTGTGATAGTTACCTCCTCTGTATCTTTCAGTGTACACACATGATATGGCATAGATATTAATGTCTGCTCCTTCCTATCTGCAATGTAAAGCCACCACCATTCTTGTTTTTCCTGGAAAGAAAAGAAGAAGAAGAGTATAAATAACCAGAAAGAACTAGAGAGAACACAATTTTGGCCTCTCTTATCTTAGAGATTCTCTGCACTGACAAAGTGCTTGGTACAAAATAGGTGTTCAAATGAACATTTACTGAAAGAATAAGCTGTTCTTAACATTTGTAGAGCCATTGCCTAAAAACATTCCGTATCCAATTTTGGGGATTTCAATAGCTCCTTGAAACCTATTGATTGGCCTTCATATTAAAAACCCCATGACTAACCTTAAGGAACAAGCATTATTCTAAATATATACAACTATTACAACAGCATGTAGCAAATAATCTTAGTAATCTTACCTAGAATAAGCAAAAGCCACAAAGTAGGAGTGGAAGGAACTTGGGCAGCCAAATCAAAAATCAATACATTAAATACTTTATATACTTTTAAGAGGATATTTCAGATTGTAAGAGTCTATTTATACTTTCCACTGCCCATGATTGTACTAAACTTGGCATTTCTAGCTGAACTCCAAAAAAATTAGGAACAGAAAAAAGAGCTGGGTTTAAAAAAAAAAAAATTCACCAGAATATCAGAATGTACACAATGACAGCAAGGAAAAATCAGAGAACAAGAGACAGAAAAGTATTAAATATATACATAAATTTTAGGCAGGGTGCAATGGCTCACGCCTGCAATCCCAGCACTTTGGGAGTCCGAGACGGATGGATCATGAGGTAAGAAGATCGAGACCATCCTGGCTAACACAGGGAAACCCCGTCACTACTGAAAATACAAAAAATTAGCCAGGCATGGTAGCAGGCGCCTGTAGTCCCAGCTACTCGGAAGGCTGAGGCAGGAGAATGGCGTGAACCCGGGAGGCGGAGCTTGCAGTGAGCCCAGATCGCACCACTGCATTCCAGCCTGGGCAACAGAGCAAGACTCTGTCTCAAAAAAATATATATATATATACACATAAATATATATGTATGTATTTTAGAAGGCCAAGTCTAAAAGCACCAAACCTCCGCGCATTCAGCAACAACTGCTCTATTACAGTACACTTCAGTTAACTATTTAGTCATCTGCTTAGTAACACCTGTTTAAGAGTTGGGTAGGGAAGTATCTTTCTAAGATGGTTTAAAGAAAAATGTTTTACAGCTTAAAACAAAATAAACTCTAGGATGTTCTAAATATTTATTTAACCAAAACAGTACTAGACTATTCTAAATTCTCAATTGTCTGAAATGGGTTAAAATATCATCTTACTGAAACAGTTTCTTTGAGAAAACGTGGGGGTTTTTTGTTTTGTTTTTTGTTGAGACAGGGTCTCACTCTGTCACCCAGGCTGGAGTGCAGTGGCACCATCTCAGCTCACCTCACTGCAACCTCTGCCTCTGGGGCTCAAGTAATCCTCCCACCTCAGTTTCCCGAGTAGCTGAGACTACAGGCATGCACCACAATGTCTGGCTAATTTTTGTATTTTTTATAGAAACAGGATTTCATTTATTTTGCCCAGGCTGTCTTGAACTCCTGGGCTCAAGCAATCCTCCCACTTAGGCCTCCCATAAGTGCTAGGATTACAGGCATGAGCCACCACACCTGGCCCATATTTATGTTTTTAAACTAAAATTGCTGCACTTTCTATTTTAACTATAAAAATAGATTAAAATTTGGTTTATCTTTCAAACATTACTATACTAAGCACAACTAAAAACTCTTCTGTTTAAATACCTTAGGAGATAAAGCACTGCAACATTAATAAGCCTAATAAATAAATGACAAGTACATGTTGACATGAGCAGCAGCTAAAAAGAAAATTAAATTCTGCTTAAACCAAGGGTTAGGACTACTACCGTAGGCATATTTGTATATATAACTTATGTGTGTAAATACATAACAGCCTCAAAGTGGAATATTAACACCTCTGTTGTGGCTACTCAAATCTGCCCTTGCAGCATGAAAAAAATGAATGTGGCTGTATTCTAATAAAACTTTATTTACAATAAAGCCTCATTGACAAAAACAGGAAGGGAGCCAGATCTGCCTGTAGACTGCAGTTTAAAAATATCTGTTTTGAAGACACAGAAACCTGGGTTATTTCACCTCCCTAAAATCTCATTTTCTTTTCAACAATCAGTGCCTACTTCTGGCCACGTTGCAAAGATGATCTGAGAAAATACAAATAAAAAATGTATGTTATAAAGCCTAGCACATGCAGTATAATAAATGGCAGTTATGATTATTAGTGACATGAGGTACAATAACAGTTCTTTTACTTAAGTCATTTTGACATTTGTCAGAAACATCATTACCACAACAAGTAGGGAATGTAAGCAGCACAGGATTATGTTGAAGATTATGCACTTCTTCACCTCCCTACTTAGAGAATGCCTTTCCCTGCAACCTCTCAGCCTATTTAATTACAATGAGATGCACTCAATATTAAGGGCCAGCCACGGTGGCTCACACCTGTAGTCCCAGCACTTTGGGAGGCCAAGGCGGGTGGATCACCTGAGGTCAGGAGTTCAAGACCGGCCTGACCAACACGGAGAAACCCCGCCTCTACCAAAAATACAAAATCAGCTGGGCGTGGTGGCAAATGACTGCAAACCCAGCTACTGGCTCAAAAAAGCAACAAAAAAAAATTTATTAAAAAGCCAATGGATATCAGTTAATGGCACTACACTTGTGCCTAGACTCTGATGCATATGTTAAAAGTGAAACAGATGTTCTACGAGTTTGCACTTTAGACAAAACCATTTTTCTTGTGTGAGATTCCCAACCATTCTTAACACATTAAATACAATAGATGAATTTCACTAACATGTAAGTCAAATATTACTAAGTGTGTAGTTTGGTAGTTAGGTTACTTAGGTAAGAAACATGGAAATGTAGATACATAAAGAGGTTAGGAAGATCCTAAATAAATTTTGTTTGTTCATTTGTTTTGTTTTGTTTGAGACAGAGTCTCGCTCTGTCACCAAGGCTGGAATGCAATGGCACAATCTTGGCTCACTGCAACCTCCGCCTCCCAGGTTCAAGCAATTCTCCTGCCTCAGCCTCCTAAGTAGCTGGGATTACAGGCACCTACCACCACAGCCGACTAATTTTTTGTTTTTTTGAGACAGAGTTTCACTCTTGTTGCCCAGGATGGAGTGCAATGGTGCCATCTCGGCTCACCGTAACCTCCACCTCCTGGGTTCAAGCGGTTCTCCTGCCTCAGCCTCCTGAGTGGTGGGATTACAGGAATGTGCCACCATGCCCGGCCAATTTTGTATTTTTAGTAGAGACGGGGTTTTGCCATGTTGGCCAGGCTGGTCTCAAACTCCTGGCCTCAGGTGATCCACCCACCCACCTCAGCCCCACAAAGTGCTGGGATTACAGGCGTGAGCCACTGAGCCCAGCCCTAAATAAATTTTATCTGATAAACAATGATCTTAAATGTTTACCATGCAGATGCAGATTAAATATGAAAAAGGCATTTTGCTGATAAAAATTATTCTTATTTTTTTTGAGACAGGGTCTCGCTCTGTCATCCAAGTTGGAATTCAGTAGCACAATCATAGCTCACTGCAGCCTCAATCTCCTGGGCTCAAGTGATCCTCCAACCTCAGCTTCCCAAGTAGCCTAGGACCACAGGCATGAGCCACTAATGTGCATTAGTGGCATTTGGCCACTAACAAATGTTCTGAGGGAGTGAATGAATGTTTCTCTTATTAACTAAGCATGGTCTAAAATGAAACTGTCTGTTATATGGGTACACACTAGGCAGCTTTGAGCACCCCATGGCACTTTTTACACCAATCAATGAATGGAATTTACTTGCTTCATTTCAGGATGCCTGGTGTTGGCAGGCTACCTCTGCAATGGGCAAAATGCTCCTAACAGATGGACTAAAGCTCAGGACATGCCAGAAGATCAGCATGTGCATTAAGATGGAATCCTGGGCAGACTTCTCTCCAAGTCAAAACAACAGTCTGTGCAGAGCCACTCATTTATTACTAAGAGAGCCAAATTATTTAGGAATTTGCCTTAAGCAGTCCCCAGAAACTCTAGATTGACATTCTCAAGCAGAAAGTAGATTTATACATGAAATCACCTGCCAAACACAAGTGGTGACCAGAAGGTTCTGTGGCAAAGCTGTGAGGTAGTCTGTGGAACAGTTTCCCGAACTGAGGGAACCAGTTCTTGACCTCTGCTCCAGACAGAATTATACTCTAATGCAAAATGTCAATGGAATCCCAAGGTAATTTGAAAGATGAACAACACAGGTTATCAAGGAGATCTAAAGTTGAGCAGGCTGCAATTACAAAGTAAACAAGGACAAGGCAACAAATAGCATTGTAATGACCTGTCCTGAGCCCGGGGCTCAGTCATGATCAAGCTCTTATGGAACTTTATTTATTAGAGCCAAGAACACAGTTGGTCCCACAGCCATGGGCTCACACATTTCCATGGACTGGGACAACAATAACCAGGGTCAGAGCAATTCTAATGGTTCCATGTGGCCAGCAGGATCCTCAGAGGGAAAATTTAAGTATTTTTTTATCCTATTTAAAACTTGGCAGAGGTGAGAGATTCACAATAGTTAAGTATTCAAAGGCAAAGTACGCATTTTTCTGATGAAGACTGCCTAATCTGCTAATAAGAAATCACCATTATGCACAACACTCAGTAATTAGGGCACAGAAAAGATAGCAGCAAACCACAGAAATACTTAAGAAGCTAACCATCTCTTTTATAAGCAACACGTTCACTAAGTATAATACCTATTGTAATATTCCCTTTAAAAATGTGGCCTTTCAGGACAGACCACATTTAGCACATATGAACTAATATACACGACAGAGGGCTAAAAGTCAACTGACAAATCCCAGAGGAGAAAGTGAATGGAATAAGGAACACACTAGCCTGTATATAACTCACCTCAGGAAAGTAAAGGCTATACACAGGATGTGTTATTTTTGATTTGGTTTCCAGTAGAGCTCTCTCTTTTCGCTGTATGCTTTGTTGTAATTCTTGCCACTCCTAGTAAACAAAAAAATTAAAATATTTAAAATCTAGTATGTGTTTTATCACTTTGAGGAGTTTCCAGGTATTATTCCTGATAATGCTAATTAACTACTTAGGATTACAACAAGTTCAGTTCCACAAATCTGATCATTTCCCTGCTCATCCTTACAATGCCTTTTTAAATATATTAAATCAAACCACTGTAGTATCAACTACATAGCCGTTAATTATCTGACCCTAGTCTGCCTCTCTTTGGTCTCCTGTCACTGCCTCCCTCCTTGTGCTTTTTATTCTAGTCATTTCAAACTACCTATACTTCTCTAAACTTACCAAACTATTTTACTCCTCCTAAACCCTGTTTAGACTTTGGTTTCTCCCTTTCTCTGACTACTCATTATTATTTAGGACCAGCTAAAGCCCAAAGTATGAACTCCTGAGTAAAGCCTCCCATAAATTCCCTTCTATCTCAGGACTGAACTGATCACTCCCTCCTTACGTACCTTGCATAAGATGTGTATAATTTCATATGTACTATAATATTTATTTACAAATCTGCCTGCTCCATTAGCCTACATATCATTCAAGAGCTGCAGCTGTTTCACATTTGGCTTTGTAATTCTTTAATCTCAGATAGCCTTGGGATGTGACAGATAATAAATAATGATTTGTTGACTTAATGAATGTATTTTTGGTCATATGAAGAAATCAGTCTGTCAACACCCTAAGAGTCACTGCTACTAACCCTAATATACTTAGGAATATGTCAATTCTCAAAGTCAGGCCAGGGATATAAGGTATTTGACAGATTTTAGTTTCCTGGCAATCAATTTAATTCTCCAAGTACAAAAACAGCCAAGGTCCTGCAAATGCTAACAGTAGTCGTCTTTGTTTTCTACCATTCCCAAGGCCAAGTGTGTTAGTACTCCCTTATACTTTTATCCTTTGCCCTTTACCTCCTTCCTCCTTTTTTGGCCTCTCGTTTGCCTCTGAGGCTATTCAGGCAATCCCTTTTTATCTCCTAAACTACAGTGTTACTTTTAGATCAATGGCCACTCAAAAAGAACAATGCTAACAAAACCTAAAGGAAATGGCCAGTTTATTTGCAGTGAGACTCTAAGGACCACATTCTTCTCTATAATTCTCCCATAAATCATGTGCAACTTAATGCCATGAGATTTTTCTTCTATACTCTGTACTTTCACACCATATTAATAAATTCTCTAAAGACTTCCCCTGTCCTTAATATATCTTATATACACCCACGAAACAAGGTGGTATTCTACAAAAGTTAGCTTTTCCCTTAACCAACCTCTTGACATCAGGGTCCACAGTACTGTTTCTCTACAGTAAACATGACCTGGAGCTCGTGACACAGCCTTCCAAGTAAGCACTATCCATTTCACAAACACCTTTCCCTACTCATATTTCCAGAGATATCCCCAACACTGAAAATCCCCTTATGAGATCAACTGACCTAACCTCAAAACCAGGTCCTACACCACCTAACAATTTAATATTTAAGAAAATGAGGATTTCCAATCCTTGTTAGAAATCATTTTTCTTTATAACCTTGACTACCATTCCTTAAAAACGTTTTTCAAAGTAATAAAATTATAAAATATACAGGTAATATTTAAAGCAGGCAAGCGAGCAAGCAAACAAATGAACAACAACAACAAAACCCAAAGCTATCATCAGAGGTATAATTCCAATTATTTAAACCTATAAGGCTTACTGCTTCATCATCTTTGTTTTGTTTTTCATCTTGCTCTCTATCAGAGTCTCTGTCACTACCATCATCTTTTTCACTTTGGGAATCTCTATTGGTTTCTTCTTCTTCAGAATCACTGCCCTTATCTGAAACTTCTTCTTCATCTTCCTTTACTGCAGCTTCCTAAAAGGAAAAAGCAAACACAAAGATTCTGCGTATCTCAATGAGCACATATTAATCTGAATCCCTGAAGTTAACTTATTGTCAACAAAACTAAACTGACTCGATGACAATTTCACTATTCATATATAATTTTTTAAAATTATAAACATTCCTACTTATAAAGATGTGGGAGTCAGACTGAAGAGTTTAGTATCTGGCTAGTCTGTCTATTGTTAGTTATTTTATTCATTCTTCATAATTTGTCAAATGAAAGTATTTCTATTTGTAAAGCCCAGTAACACAAAGGCTAAGATGGTTCTGCTTTCAAAAACATCAATTATATTTTATTTAAGGAAACAGGTAGTTTATAAAAAAGTATAATGTTGGGGCTAGCCACAGTGACTAATGCATGTAATCCTAGCACTTTGGAAGGCAGAAGCAGGAGGACTGCTTGAGGCCAAGAGTTCAAACCAGCCTAGGCAACATAGCAAGACCTGATCCCTTTAAAAAAAAAAAAAAATATATATATATATATATATATAATATATATATAATATATATATAATATATATATATCACTAGGCATGATGGTACACATTTGTAGTCCCAGCTAGTTGGGAGGTTGAGGTGGGAGAATCACTTGAGCCCAGGAGTTTAAGGCTGCAGTAAGCCGTGACCATGCCACAGCACTTCAGTGTGGGTGGCAGAGCAAGACCCTATCTCAAAAAAGGGAGGGAGGGAGGGAGGGAGGAGGGAGGGAATTCCTTGAAAAACACAATTTGCTAAAATCAATAAGAAAAATGCAGAATATATATTAAAGAAAGAAACTCCACAAATAAACTCCCTTTGAAAACTCCAGGCCCAGATGGTTTCCCTGGAGAATTCTTCCACAGACTGAAAAAACAAATTGAAGCTTACACATACTCTTCTGAGCAAAAAAGGGAATACTTCCTAGCTTGATTAATAACGCCAGCATAAATCTGATACAAAACCTGACAAGGATATTACAAAAAAAGAGAATGACAAACCAATATTTGCTCTTAAAATTAGATGTGAGAATACAAAGAAAATACCGTCAAATACAGATAAATATAAAAAAGGATACTAAGTTATGGCCAAATGATATTTGTTCCAGGAATGCAGGGATGGTTTCAAATTTTTTAAATCCATCAATCTAATTCAACAGAAAGGAAAAAAGTGAAAAAAAAAAAAAAAAAAAAAAAAAAACCTTTAATAACATTCACTATTTGCTAGTGATAAAAATTCTCAGCAAACTGGAAATAAAAGGAAACACTTCCTTAACCTGACAAAGACTAGTTACAAAAAACTTACACCTAACATCACATTTAGTGGTAAAATAATGTTTGCTTTCTTCCTAAGACCAACAATAAGATAAGGTTTCTACTATCATAACTCTGAATAAATATTATACTGAAAGTTCTAGTCAGCACAGTGAGACAGAAAGGAAGAAAGGGTATAAAGATTAAAAAGAAAAAAGTAAAACTGTCTTTATTCACAGATGGCAACACTGTATATGTAGAAAATCTTTATTAAAATATCTACAAATGGTTAGAATTATTGCCAATTCATTAAGACTCTTTGATACAAGGTCAATATTTAGAAGCAACTATTTCTATACACCAGCAACAAACACCAAATAAAAATTTTAATGACATTTACGGTGATATCAGAAAGGATCAAATACATAGGGGTAAATCTAACGAAAGATGTGCCATACCTCTGCCACTGGAAATTACAAAACACTGCTGAGAAAAATTAGGGAAGATCCAAATTAATGAAGATAAACCACAATCATGAATAACAAGACTCAGTATTGTTAACATGTCAATTCTCCCCATATTGAACCATGGATTCAGTGCAATACCAATGTAAATTTCAGCAGCTTTTTCGGGGGGAAATTGTTAAGCTTATTCTAAAAACTGGCAGGAAATGTAAAGGAATTAAAACAGGAAAATTTTGATCAGGAAAATTTTGATCAGTAAAACAGTTGGAGCACTTACACTACATATTTTGAGACTTAACATAAAGCTACAATTAAAACTGTATGGCACTGGCATAAGAATAGACAAATAATCAATAGAATGAACAGGACAGTCCATAAACAGACCTACACATCATATACAGTATCACCTGTTGTTTTCTTTTTAAATTATACTTAAAGTTCCAGGGTACATGTGCAGAATGTGCAGGTTTGTTACATAGGTACACACATGCCACGGTGGTTTGCTGTACCCATCAACCCATCATCTACATTAGGCATTTCTATTAATGCAATCCCTCCCCTAGCCCACCACCACCTGACAGGCCCCAGTGTGTGATGTTCCCCTCCGTGTCCATGTGTTCTCATTGTTCAACTCACACTTACGAGTGAGAACATGCCAGTGTGTGGATTTCTGTTCTTGTGTTAGTTTGCTGAGAATGATGGTTTCCAACACCATCCTTGTCCCTGCAAAGGACATGAACTCATCCTTTTTTATGGCTGCATACTATTCCATGGTGTGTATGTGCCACATTTTCTTTATCTAGTCTATCATTGATGGGCATTTGGGTTGGTTCCAAGTCTTTGCTGTTGTAAACAGTGCCACAATAAACATACGTGTGTATGTGTCTTTATAGTAGAATGACTTATAATCCTTTGGGTATATACCCAGTAATGGGATTGCTGGGTAAATATTGCTAGTTCTAGACCCTTGAGGAATCGCCACACTGTCTTCCACAATGGTTGAACTAATTTACACTCCCACCAACAGTGTAAAAACGTTTCTATTTCTCCACATCCTCCAGCATCTGTTGTTTCCTTTTTACTGATTGTCATTCTGACTGGCGTGAAATGGTATCTCAATGTGGTTTCGATTTGCATTTCTCTAATGACCAGTGATGATGAGCTTCTCTTCATATTTTTGTTGGCTGCATAAATGTCTTCTTTTGAGAAGTGTCTGTTCATATCCTTTGCCCACTTTCTGATGGAGTTGTTTTTTTCTTGTAAATCTGTTTACGTTCTTTGTAGATTCTGGCTATCGGCCCTGTGTCAGATGGATAGATTGTAAAAACTTTCTCCCATTCTGTGGGTTGCCTGTTCACTCTGATGATAGGTTGTTGTTTTTGTTTGTTTGTTTTGTTTTTTGTTTTTTGCTGTGCAGAAGCTCTTTAGTTCAATCAGATTCCGTTTGTCTATTTTGGCTTTTGCTGCCATTGCTTTTGGTGTTTTAGTCAAGAAGTCTTTGCCCATACCTATGTCCTGAGTGGTATTGCCTAGGTTTTCTTCTAGGGTTTTTATGGTTTTAAGTCTTAAGTCTTTAATCCATGTTGAGTTAATTTTTGTATTAGGTGTATGGAAGGATCCAGTTCCTGCTTTCTGCATATGGCTAGCCAGTTTTCCCAATACCATTTATTAAATAGGGAATGCTTTCCCCATTGCTTGTTTTTAACAGGTTTGTCAAAGATCAGATGGTTGTAGACGTGTGGCATTATTTCTGAGGCCTCTGTTCTGTTCTATTAGTCTATACATCTGTTTTGGTATAAGTACCATGCTGTTTTGGTTACTGTAGCCTTGTAGTACAGTTTGAAGTCAGGTAGCGTGATGCCTCCAGCTTTGTTCTTTTTGCTTAAGATTGTCTTGGCTATGCGGGCTCTTCTTTGGTTCCACATGAAATTTAGTTTTTTCCAATTCTGTGAAGAAAGTCAATGGTAACTTGATCGGGATAGCATTGAATCTATAAATTACTTTGGGGAGTGTGGCCATTTTGACAATATTGATTTTTCCTATCCATGAGCATGGAATGTTTTCCATTTGTTTGTGTCCTCTCTTATTTCCTTGAGCAGTGGTTTGTAGTTCCCCTTGAAGAGGTCCTTGTAAGTTGTATTCCTAGGTATTTTATTCTCTTTGTGGCAATTGTGAATGTGAATTCACTGATGGCTTGGCTCTCTGTTTGTATGTTATTGGTGTATAGGAATGCTTGTGATTTTTGCACATTGATTTTGTATCCTGAGACTTAGCTGAAGTTGCTTATCAGCTTGAGGAGATTTTGGGCTGAGACGATGGGGTTTTCTAAATATACAATCATGTCATCTGCAAATAAAGACAATTTGACTTCCTCTTTTCCTAACTGAATACTCTTTCTTTCTCTTGCCTGACTGCCCTGGCCAGAACTTCCAATACTATGTTGAATAGGAGTGGTGAGAGAAGGCATCCTTGTCTTGTGCTGGTTTTCAAAGACAAGGCTTCCAGTTTTTGCCCATTCAGTATGATACTGGCTGTGGGTTTGTCACAAATAGCTCTTATTTTGAGATATGTTCCATCAAGGCCTAGTTTATTGAGAGTTTTTAGCATGAAGGGCTGTTGCATTTTGTCGAAGACCTTTTCTGCATCTATTGAGATAATCATGTGGTTTTTGTCATTGGTTCTGTCTGATGGATTACATTTATTGATTTGCATATGTTGAACCAGCCTTGCATCCCAGGCATGAAGCCGACTAGATGGTGGTGGATAAGCTTTCTGATGTGCTGCTGGATTCGGTTTGCCAGTATTTTATTGAGGATTTTCACATCAATGTTCATCAGGGATATTGGCCTGAAATTTTCTTTTTTTGTTGTGTCTCTGCCAGGTTTTGGTATCAGGATGATGCTGGCCTCATAAAATGAGTTAGGGAGGATTTCCTCTTTTTCTATTGTTTGGAATAGTTTCAGAAGGAATGGTATCAGCTCCTCTTTGTACCTCTGGTAGAATTCGGCCGTGAAACTATCTGATCCTGGACTTTTTTTGGTTGGTAGGCTATTAATTGCTGCCTCAATTTCAGAGATTATTATTGATCTAGTCAGGAATTTGACTTCCTCCTGGTTTAGTCTTGGGAGGGTGTATGTGTTCAGGAATTTAACCATTTCTTCTAGATTTTCTTGTTTATTTGTGTAGAGGCATTTATAGTATTCTCTGATGGTAGTTTGTATTTCTGTGGGATCAGTGGTGATATCCCCTTTATCATTTTTTTATTGCATCTTTTTTATTCTTCTCTCTTTTCTTCTTTATTAGTCTGGCTAATGGTCTATCTATTCTGTTGATCTTTTCAAAAAACTAGCTCCCAGATTCATTGATTTTTTTGATGAGTTTTTTGTGTTTCTATCTCCTTCAGTTCTGCTCTTAGTTATTTCTTGTCTTCTGCTAGCTTTTGAATTTGTTTGCTCTTGCTTCTCTAGTTCTTTTGTGATGTTAGGGTGTCAATTTTAGATCTTTCCTGCTTTCTCTTGTGGGCATTTAGTGCTATAAATTTCCCTCTACACACTGCTTCAAATGTGTCCCAGAGATTCTGGTATATTGTGTCTTTGTTCTCATCGGTTTCAAAGAACATCTTTGTTTCTGCCTTCATTTCATTATTTACCCAGTAGTCATTCAGGAGCAGGTTGTTCAGTTTCCATGTAGTTTTGCAGTTCTGAGCAAGTTTCTTAATCCTGAGTTCTAATTTGATTGCGCTGTGGTCTAAGAGACTGTTTGTCATGATTTCCGTTCTTCTGCATTTGCTGAGGAGTGTTTTACTTCCAATTATGCAGTCAATTTTGGAATAAGTGTGACGTGGTGCTGAGGAGAATGTGTATTCTGTCGATTTGGGCTTTACAATTTGGTATGTTTTTGCAGTGGCTGGTACCAGTAGTTACTTTCCATGTTTAGTGCTTCCTTCAGGAGCTCTTGTAGGGCAGGTCTGGTGGTGACAAAATCTCTCCGCATTTCCTTGTCTGTAAAGGATTTTATTTCTCCGTCGCTTATGAAGCTTAGTTTGGCTAGATATGAAATTCTGGGTTGAAAATTCTTTTCTTTAAGAATGTTGAACATTGGGCCCCACTCTCTCTTCTGGCTTGTAGGGTTTCTGCCGAGAGATCTGCTGTTAGTCTGATGGGCTTCCCTTTGTGGGTAACCCGATCTTTCTCTCTGGCTCCTCTTAATATTTTTTCCTTCATTTTAACCTTGGTGAATCTGATGATTATGTGTCTTAGGGTTGCTCTTCTCAAGGAGTATCTTCGTGGTGGTCTCTGTATTTCCTGAATTTGAATGTTGGCCTGCCTCACTAGGTTGGGGAAGTTCTCCTGGATAATGTCCTGAAGAGTATCTTCCAACTTGGTTTCATTCTCCCCGTCACTTTCAGGTACACCAGTCAAAAACAGATTTGGTCTTTTCACAGAGTCCCATACTTCTTGCAGGCTTTGTTCGTTTCACTCTTTCTTCTCTAATCTTGTTTTCTCGCTTTATTTCATCGAGTTGATCTTCAATCTGATATCCTTTCTTCTGCTTGATCAATTTGGCTACTGGGACTTGTGAATGTTTCACGAAGCTCTCGTGCTGTGTTTTTCAGCTCCATCACGTAACTTATGTTCTTCTCTAAACTGGTTATTCTAGTTAGCAATTCGTCTAACCTTTTTTCAAGGTTCTTAGCTTCCTTGCATTGGGTTAGAACATGCTCCTTTAGCTAGAAGGAGTTTGTTATTATCCACCTTCTGAAACCTACTTCTGTCAGTTCATCACACTCATTCTCCATCCAGTTTTGTTCCCTTGCTGGCAAGGAGTTGTGATCCTTTAGAGAAGAGGCATTCTGGTTTTTGGAATTTTCAGCCTTTTGGGGCTGATTTCTCCCCATCTGCATGGATTTATCTACCTTTGGTCTTTGAAGTCAGTGACCTTCGGATGGAGTCTCTTGAGTAGACATCCTTTTTGTTGATGTTGATACTATTCCTTTCTATCTGTTAGTTTTCCTTCTAACAGTCAGGCCCCTTTGCTGCAGGTCTGCTGGAGTTTGCTGGAGGTCTGCTCCAGACCCTGTCTGCCTGGATATCACCAGCGGAGGCTGCAGACCAGCAAAGATTGCTGCCTGTTCCTTCCTCTGGAAGCTTTGTCCCAGAGGGGCATCCGCCAGATGCCAGCCAGAGCTCTCCTGTACGAGGTGTCTGTTGTAGGAGATGTCTCCCAGTCAGGGTACATGGGGGTCAGGGACCCACTTGAGGAGGCAGTCTGTCCCTTATCAGAGCTTGAATGCTGTGCTGGTAGATCCGCTGTTCTCTTCAGAGCTGCCAGGTAGGGATGTTTAAGTCTGCTGAAGCTGTACCCACAACTGCCCCTTCCCCGAGATGCTCTGTCCCAGGGAGGTGGGGTTTTATCTATAATTCCCTGACTGGGGCTGCTGTCTTTTTTTCAGAGATGCCCTGCCCAGAGAGGAGACAGGCCGCAGCAGCCTTGTTGGGCTCAGTGTCATCTGTTTTACAACGAAGTGCCATTACAATTTACTGAGGAAAGAATGACCTTTTCAATGAATGGTGATGGTGTAAGTGGTTCATACCCCCTACCTTGCACCATTCATGAAAAGTTAATTCAAGATAGTTTTATCAACTAAGGTAATGTTTCCAGAAGAAAACAGAAAAATACCTCCCTGACTCTGGAGTAGTCAGGATGTCTTAATTTTTAAGACACAGAAGCATTAGCCATTGATGAAAAATGACCTCATTGATGAAAAAAAAAGACTAATGAAATTGACCTCATTAAAATAAGAACCATTAGAAGCTACCAATAAGAGAGTAAAAATGTAGGGACTCTTACCCAGAATATATACAGAATTCCTACAAATTCAGTAACAAGACAAACAACCGAATAGAAAAAGAAGTTATCCAAATAGCCAGCAAGCACATGAAAAGGTGTTCAACATCATTAGCCATCAGGTAAATGCAAACAAAAATCACATGAAGAGATATCACTACAGATCTACCAAATGGCTAAAAGACTGGTAAAACCAAGTATTGGTGAGTATGTAGAACAAAAGACTCACGTATGTTGTGGTAGGAGCATAAAATGGTACAACTTTGGAAAATAGGCTCTTTTAATGAGTTAAGCATGCACCTACTTTATAATCCAGCAATTCCACTGCTAGGTGGAAAATGACTGTCCACAAAATGCCATGTATAAGAATAAGCATAGCACCCTTTATTCATATTAGATTAAGAACTACAGACAACCCAAATGTCCAACAACCACAAAACAGATAAATGTGGTATATTCATACAATGAAATACTATACACATATACACACACACAAACACAGAATTAACTACTGCTACAAATACAGAGGTATTATCATGAACATAACGCTGAATGAAAGGAGTCATACATAAAATATGACACTTATATGACCTTTAAGAATAGGCAAAACTAATCTATGGCGATTACAGACAGAATAGTGGGAGGTAGAGGGATGGGGAGATGGGTGGAGGGCTCATTGAGAAGGGCACAAAGGAGCTTTCTAGGGTATCACGGGTGCATAAATATGCAAAACTTTTGAAGCTGTACACATAAGATTTGATCATTTTAGTGTTTGTATATTTTAGCTCAATGATAATAACGATAATAATAAACTTACATTCCCAACAACTCCATTTGCCTGCTTTTGTTTCTGTTGCTTTGACTGTGGTAACAGCACAGGTGTAGGTTTTTTTTTTAAAGGTTTCTTTTTTTTTGATTTAGCAGTTTTCTTGGGTCCTTTACTCTTCTGTTGCCATCCTCCTTTTGTCCTGTTCTTGTTAGTTTCCCCCTGCTGTAAATCATAACATGTCACACTTGTAAGTTATAGCAATAGATATTCAATTGAAGGTTACAGTAATTTTTAGGTGGAAATGGCTAAACTGAGTTACTCTCCCAGAGCAATATAAGTCAACTGGAGAAGTAAATAAAATATTTCTTTCACTAGGAAAGATAGGTTCGGAAACCCAAGTTTTTACCCCATCTTCTGCTGGCTGTTCCTCTGCAGCACAGATGGACTGCTCCTTTTCAAATACTTCCTAAGGGGTAGCAAGAAGAGAAATACAAAATCTGTCAACCTATATTTATCTTTCAGACAAAGCAATCTTTCAAACTGTATTTTTAAAGTATTTTTAACTGGCTACAATTGAGGAAGAAGGAGGAGACATTTAGCAATTACTAGCTGATGACTGTGTGCATATGCAAGTAGATACCTTGTATCTCACATCTGTCTTGAACAAGTTTTGAAAGTACAGTCTACTCAAGTTTACAAATGGAGTAAGGATACATACAGTAAAAATATTTAAAATTTTCACTTTTATTCTAATAGCAAGCAAACATGAGTATTTTAATGTTATGAGTATACTATTTTCTGCATTAAAACCTTGACAATAAGACAGTGTGATGTGCAAAATAACAACAACAACAAAAAAAAAACCCTTGAGACTAGTATTAGTTTATTCACTATTGTCAGTGATACTACTTAATGGACCTGAGACCTGAGACTAAGAACTGAATCATCACAGGTGGGGCACGGTGGCTCATGACTATAATCTCAGCACTTTGGGAGGCTGAGGCAAGAGGATTGCTTGAGCCCAGAAGTTTGAGACTAACATGGGCAACATAGTGAGACCCCACATCTATTAAAAAAAAAAATCACCAAGAAAATCTACATATCCTAAAGCTATATCCACCAACCATACAATCCATTTAGAATCAGTACAGAACCGATAAATTTAGGATTTAAATCCCAGTAAGCATCTATACTAGATGACATACAGACTGTGTTTAATAAACTCCCTAGAATTATTAAAGCTAACAAGTAAAAACAGTTATAATTGTTAGGCTCTATACAATAAAGAGAGCCTAATTCAGAAGTCAACTCTGAACAGTCCATACCACTTGCCCTTTTTTTTTTTTTTTTTTTTTTTAAAGACAGTGGTCTTATTATGCTGCACAGGCTGGTCTCGAACTCCTGAGCTAAAGGATCCTCCCACCTCAGCCTCCCAAGTAGCTGTGCCACTGTGCCTGCCCTGCCACCTGCTTTTTAAAACAAAGCTTTACTGGAACATGACCACACCCATTTGTAAGTTCAGTAGTTGCTACAAACACTGTATCACTTATAAAACCTAAGATACTTACTATCTGGACCTTTAAAGAAAAAGGTTGCCACTCCCTAGTCTAATTCTATTATAACTTCCTCCTTTCACTTATTAGCTGGGTTCTGCTACTTGATTACTCCAAGGGACAGTTCATACAAGAATGGGAAGATAAAAACAATTCTTTTCTTTACTCCAGGGCAGTTCCATTCTTTTTTCTACCAATCACTCCAGAAACGTTAATAGTTCAAGAACAAATTTTTGCTCATTTTTCAGGCTGGGAAGTCCAAAGGATATGGGTAGTCTAGATTTGGATTCTAAACCCAGTTTTAGCATTGGTTTCGGTTCCTCTTCTCCCAGGAGGCACCTCTCTCACCCAGAGTCCATGACAAATGCTTCCTTATCACTTGCTATAATAAAACCAACATCTTGGATTCAATATATCCTACTACAAAATATGATTTTCAGGCCGGGCTTGGTGGCTTACGCCTGTAATCCCAGCACTTTGGGAGGCTGAAATGGTAGGATCACTTGAGGTCAGGAGCTCAAGACCAACCTGGCCAACATAGTGAGACCCCCATCTCTATAAGAAAAAAATATATATGTTTTTCCTACCAGCAATTTTAGGCATGGGATACAAATGTGGCATATATTTCTTGCAGATGCTCAAAAACCTCAGGGCAAAAGGCTAAAATCTACCACTAGTTGAATAAATTGAGTAAAAATACTTCAGTCTCTACCAGTTGACTCAGGAGAAAATATAAATAAAAGAAACTGAGAGCCAAGCATGCTGGCTCATGCCTGTAATCCCAGCACTTTGGGAGGCCAAGGCAGGAGGATCCTCTGAGCCCAGGAGTTTGAGACCAGCTAGGCAACCTACAGAGACCCGCATCTCTATTTAAAAATACATAAATATATTAGGCCAGGCATGGTGGCTCATGCCTAAATCCCAGCACTTTCGGAGGCTGAGGCAAACATATCACTTGAGGACAGGAGTTCAAGACCAGCCTGGGCAACATGGAGAAACCCCATTTCTACTAAAAATACAAAAAATTAGCTGGGCATGGTGGTGCACACCTGTGGTCCCAGCTACTCAGGAGGTTGAGGTGGGAGAATCATTTGACCCTAGGAGGCAGACGTTGCAGTGAGCCAAGATTGCATCACTGCACTCAAGACTGGGTAACACAGTGAGACCGTGTCTCAACAAAAAATAAAATAGGCCAGGTGCAGTTGCTCACGCCTGCAACCCCAGCATGTTGGGAGGCCAAGGTGGGTGGATCACTTGAGGTCAGGATTTCAGGACCAGCCTGACCAACATGGTGAAACCCCATCTCTACTAAAAATACAAAAATTAGCTGGGCGTGGTGGCATGTGCCTGTAATTCCAGCTACTAGGGAGAGGCTGAGGCAGAAGAATCACTTGAACCTGGGAGGCAGAGGTTGCAGTGAGCTGAGATTGCACCACTGCATTCCAGCCTGGGTGAGAGCTAGACTCCATCTCAAAAAAGAAGATGAAGGAAATATATGCAAAATGATTGCATCAGATTTAACAAAAAAGCATGAGACAAGTATCAATCTACATTTAAGTGCCTATATGTACGTATCCACTATAAAGATCCAGATGGTAAATATAAGCATGGAGAAAGATAGGAGAAGATACAAAACAACAAGATTATGCATTCTGGTCATTTGAGGCTGAAAAGGGGTTTTCCTAAAGAAAATGAGAGATGGGCTGGGCATGGTAGCTCCTGTAATCCCACAACTTTGGAGGGCTGAGGCAGGTGTATCACCTGAGTTCAGGAGTTCAAGACCAGCCTGGTCAACATGGTGAAACCCCATCTCTACTAAAAACACAAAAATTAACCAGGTGTGGTGGTGCATGCCTGTAATCCCAGCTACTCAGGAGGCTGAGGCAGGAGAATCACTTGAACTCAAGAGATGTAGGTTGCAGTGAGCCAAGATCATGCCACTGCACTCCAGCCTGGGCAACAAGAATGAAACTCCGTCAAAAA